CTTCTTCTTCTTCTTCTTCTTCTTCTTCTTCTTCTTCTTCTTCTTCTCCTCCTCCTCCTCCTCCTCTTCATCCTCCTCCTCCTTTTCTTCTTCCTCCTCCTCTTCTTTTTCTTCTTCCTCCTCCTCCTTTTCCTCCTTGTTCTTCCTCCTCCTCCTCTTCTTCTTCTTCCTCCTCTTCTTTTTCCTCCTCCTCCTCTTCTCCTCCTCCTCCTCCTCCTTCCCAATCCCCCCCTTCCCTTCAATCACGGAAGGTGTTACCTAGTTGGGTAAGGAGACTTCTGCAAGAAGACCACCTAGCCCAGAGTCCCAAGGGCCTCCCCCCCCTTCCCCCCGCCGCCCCCCCCCCCCCGCCACTCCCTTCAATCCCCGGGGTCACCAAACGCCCGCCAGCAAAACTACCCAGCTCTGAGACCCCCCACCCCCGAGGACCCCTCCCCTTCCTCTCCCTCTCTCATTCCAACCCCCGTCCCCGCCACCCCTTCTCAGAACCTCCTTGCCCAGCGCGAAGAAGGAAAGGGGGACGGGGAAGAGCGCGGAAAGTTGGCCGCCCCTCCCCGGGCACCTCCGGCGCGCGGCAGCCCCGGCACTGCCGCTCCTCGGCGCCCGGGGCTGGGGTGGGGAGGGGGCGAGTGCGGGTCCTCTCCCCCCACCCGGCAAGGCGGAGCCTGAGCCGGGGAAGAGGCGGAGCGAGACGGGCTCTGCCTAGCGGCTCCTGCTGCGGCGGCGGCGGCTGGTGCTGCTGCTTCTCCTCCTCCTCCTCCTCCGCCTTCCCGCGCCATGGCAGCCCCGCGCGGTTGGCCGCTGCTCCGCCGCCGCCGCTTCCTCCTCTTCCTCCCGGCCGCCGCCGCTTCTTCTTCTTCTTCCTCCTCCTCCTCTTCCTCCTCCTCCTCCTCTTCCTCCTCGTCTTCTTCTTCCCCGGCGCCTTCCGTGCTGCCGCTGCTCCTGCTGCTGGCCAGCGGACCGGGCCCCGTGGCGGCGGTGCAAGCCGAGCCGGGCGGTGGCGGAGGAGATGGAGGTGGTGGAGGAGGAGGAGGAGGAGGAGGAAGCAGAGGGACCGGAGGCGGCGGCGGCGGCGGCGGGGCCAACAGCCGCGGAGGAAGCCGGCCAGCGAACAGCCCTTGCCGGGAGAAAACGGTGACCGTCTCCACCTTGCCGGTGCTGCGGGAAAGCGACCTCGCCTGGAGGAGCGGCGGAGGCGGAGGCGGAGGCGGCCCCTCGGGTGGGTCCGGCGCCTTCCCGTCTTCAGCCTCCGCTGCCGCCGCCGCTGCTGCCGCTGCCGCTGCTGCTCCGGGCTCGGTGCCTCCCGGCGGCGGCGGCGGCGGCGATTCGCGCTTGCTGCTTTTCGTCCGGAGCGAACTGCCGGGGCGCGTGGCGGTGCAAGACGACCTGGATAACACGGAGCTGCCCTTCTTCACTTTGGGTGAGTGAGGGACCCCGAGACGGAGACCGACCCTCCCCACCACCAACACACACACACACACGCACACACACCCCTCCCCGCCTTCCTTCCTCCCGGTTTCTCCCCCTGGGGGACGGGGGTGGGGGAGCTGTGTTTTGGGGAGGGGGAGTCTGTGGTTGCCTAGGCTAGCACTGACCCCCTGTTTGCCTTCCTCCCGGTTTCTTCCCCTCCATCTCTTACTCCTGCGGTGCGTGTTTTGGGGACGGGGTGTCTCTGGCTTCCTGGGCTCGTCGTCAGCCCTTTCCTTCCTTTCTTCCTCCCGGTTGCTCCCCCTACTACGCCTGGGGGCTGTGTTTTGGGGAGGAGGTGTCTGTGGTTTCCTAGGCTCGCGGTGACCTCCTTCCTTCCTTTCCTTTCCTTTCCTTTCCTTTCCTTTCCTTTCCTTTCCCTTCCTTCCTTCCTTCCTTCCTTCCTTTCCTTTCCTTTCCTTTCCTTTCCTTTCCTTTCCCTTCCTTCCTTCCTTCCTTCCTTCCTTCCCTTCCCTTTCCTTTCCGTTTCTTTCCTTCCTGTCCTTTCCTTTCTTTCCTTCCTTCCTCCTTCCTTCCTTCCTTCCTTTTTCCTTCCTTCCTTCCTTCCCTTTCCCCTTCTACTCCGTGTGTGTGTGTGTGTGCGTGTGTGTGTGTTTTGAAGACGGGGTGTTCTGGCTTCCTGGGGTCGTTCTGCCCCCCCCCCGCCCCATCTCTTCTGCTCCTGAGGTGTTTGTGTGTGAGGAGGTGTTTCTGGTTTCCTGGGGTCGTTGTGACTTCCACCCACCCACTCACCCCCGATCCCTTCGCCCGGCGTGCGTCCTTGGATACTTGGTAGCCCAAAAAGAAAAAAAAAACCTTTTTTGGGGTGTGTGTGTGTGAGAAAGAAGGAAAGCCAAGTGCAGCGGTTGCTTTCCCACCAGACGCTCAACAACCCGTGTTATCCCGAAAGCCCCGGGTGGCTGCTTCTTCTCTGCGCCTCGGTCCCGTCCGGTATTTTTATTATTAAATATCTGCGGAGATTCTCCCTCATCTTGGTTAGAGTTGTTTCAAAGGTGCTTTTGCAAAAAGCAAGTTAAACCTGTTTTTTTATATATATATATCCATCGTTGGGGAGGGAGGAAGAACAAGGAGACATTTCGCTTCTCATCCAAGAAGCTTCATCAATTGTGGTCAGTTGGGGAGGGTGTTTTAAATCCCACCCCCCCAGAGGGGTGTGTGTGTGTGTGGCAGGTGCCAGAATCCAACCCTCTTGGTTTTGCAACGCGGGTCGGTCCCGTGTACCATGAAAAAATAAATCAATGCTAAAAGGCGTGAGTGGATGCAGGCAGTGTTTATGTTCTTAGCTTTCCTCTCCCTTCCTTTGGACCCCGCTCCTCCCTTTCCCGCCTTCCCTTCCTCCTCCCTCCTCCTCCCACACTTCTCCCCTGGATTATTCTTCCCTCTTTCTCTCTCCCGCCGCCCCCCCCCCCGCCCCTCAATAGGTGTGCATTTCAGTGAGGCGTTGGGGAGGGCTTTCCTACTTGAAAAAAAAGTAAACACGTGTTCTGTGCCCCCCATCCTTCATGGAACCGAGCCCTAGAGATTCAGCAAAGCACAAAAGTTTGTTTTTTTTTAAAGCATGAAACTAACAACGTAGGAAAAAAGAGCAACCGTTATTTCTATTTTTATGTTGGAGTGTGTATGGCCAAATTGATTGCTAAGAAAGTCGCACTGTGTTGAACTGTTTTTTTAATGTTTACTTAATAAAAAACTTAATAAAAAAGTTTTTTTTTAAAAAGACAAACGCGTTCCCCCCGTTTCCTTCCCAAGCATTAAGAAGGTGCCAGGGAATTCTTGTAAAGGTGTATTTTAATTGCTGGTAGGTTCCTCTGGGCTGCAAATTAACCCTCAACCGTTTCCTTGTCTTTGCTAATATTTAATCATACTGGGGCTCCATCCCACTGTGAGGACAGCCAAAAGAGATGTCTCTCTCTTTATGAATTCTGGGGAGGAAATGCAATGATGTGCGACATTTAAAAGCATGGATAGAAGAGGTTGGATGCATACCTGTCCGGGTTTCATGAGAATTCCAAGTAAAAAGAGGAAAACAGAATGGGAAGGAGTCGCTGAATTTAAGCGCCACATTCTTGAATAAGGAAATAAAGTGTCAATAAAGGAGAGTATTTGTGTATGTGTATGTATGTATATGTATATACATATATACATACTTGTTTTCTTAAGTTTTCGCAGGTACTTAGCATTCAGCTCATGAACAAAGCTGAATGCGATACATATATACATACATACATGCATACATACATACATACATACATACATACATACATACATACAAAAGTGAAATACCACTCATGCATCATCACAAAATCTCCAGAACCGTAAAGCTTACAAACTTGAAATTTGGCACATATGCTCCTCTTGGCTTCTAGGGGCTCTCTAAGAAAGGATTTTCAACATGACCATTAGAGCATTAGAATTTCTTATATTATTATTATTAACATGCTCTGATGCTAAGGAGTTCTACTCCCCCTCCCCACCTGAAAAGAAATCTCTTCCAAATGCAAAACACAAGCAGAGGAGAGGAATTTCAGTTTCACAGCAGCACCAAGCAGCTTTAGTCCAGAACAGTTGAGCTAAGCCACGCCCAGGCTCCTTGCTGTCTCCTTGCTCACACAGCAAATACTGTTTCCATTTCCAAACATCCCTCAATTCTCTCACACACTGACAGGACATTAGCCAGATGAATACCGATGGATGCTGGTAGGCAGAGGCAGAATTTCCCCCACCTCCCCTTATTTTCCTCCCCCAAAACTAAGCCGAACCATATAGTTTTGTAGCGAAGCACAGGGATCGAGCTAGCTTGAGAATATTTGAACCCTGAGGTGAAAAGAAGATACCCTGCAAGTTATGGGCTGACCTGTGAGTTGACTGCCCTTCCGTCCCATGAGTAAATCTGCCAAGGATGACAACCAACAGTGCATCCTTGATGGCCCTGCTAGGCGCTGCACAGAATAGCTTCCGTAGTAGTCTAGGTGCCTGGTTCCATTGAATTGTGTCTCTCTTTTGGGCAAAAGAGTTGTGTGCCCTTCCCACCATGTGCAGGGCACATGGCATAGATTGAGAAGCTTCAATATGTCAGAAATGACGGGGCTGCCCTTTGCAAACTGCAAGGAACGGACTTGTGGGTAGAACATGAAAGGGGCAAGAGAAGATTGTGAATTGTGCAGGTCATTAGAATAGAATAGAAAGCTGGAGGTCTTCTAGTCCAGCCCCCAGCTCAAGCAGGAGAACCTATGCCATTTCAGAGAAGTGACTGTGTAGTGTCTTCTTAAAAACCTCCACTGTCCACCCACAATTTTTGGAGGCGAGCTGCTCCACTGGTTAATTGTCCTCACCGTTAGGAAATTCCTCCTTAATTCCACGTCGCTTCTCTCCTTGGTTAGTTTCCATCCATTGTTTCTTGTCTTGCTTTCTGGTGCTTTGGAGAATAAGTTGAAAATAAGTTGAAAAATGGTCTGGGTTTTTTTGGCCGTTTTTAGCCATTTTGGGGGCCGTTTTCAGGCCGTTTTTCCAATGCTCTGGTGCTCCTGAAGACCAGCTGGCCATCATTCATGTGCCCACATAGAGGACTCTGTGTGTCACCTCTGGCACGCATGCCATAGGTTTGCCATCATGGCTCTAGGCTAACCCAAACCCAAATCCTGCAGCCGTTCTTCATATGTTTTAGTCTCCAGGCCTTTGATTCTGTTAGTTCCTCCTCTCAGAACTTTTTCCCAAAGCCTCAGCATATTTTTTGTAACACAGTGACCAAAATTGGTTGCGGTATTCCAGGTGTGCCCTTATTAAGGCTTTATAAAGTGCTACTAATACTTCACTTGATCTTGATTCTGTGCCTCGGTTTACACAACCCAGGATGGTATTAAGGTCAAACCATGGGAGGTTATTCTGGAGGGAGCAGAAGTGATATAAGGAAGGTTGGACAGTATACTAGATGTTACAGATAGTTTTCAACTTACAACAGCGTTTAGTGATGGTTCAGAGTTACAACGGCACTGAAAAAAAAGTGACTTAGGAATGTTTTTCAGTCTTATGACCGTTGCAACATCCCCATGGTCACATGACTTGTATATTCGGATGCTTGACCACTGACTCACATTTATGACGGTTGGCAGTGTCCCAGGGGTCATAGTATCCCTTTTTGCGGCCCGACTAACAACGATAATGCGGAAGCCAGATTCACCTAACAACCGTGTTACTGATTTAACAACAAGTGTTTGCAAAATGGGGCAAAAGTCACTTAACATATGTAAGAAATGCCTCACTTAGCAACACAAATGTTGGGCTCATTTGTGGCCGTAAGTTGAGGGCAATCTGTGTTGGAAGGAGAAGAAAACATTCAACACTTTTTAGCATGTGCAAAATAACTTTGTAGGTCTGAAGATCCTGGAGAAGATCCTATTCTTAATTCTTCTTCTCCTTCTCCTTTTCCTCCTCCTCCTTCTTCCTCTTCTTCCTCCTCCTCCTTCCTCGTCCTTTTTTTTTAAAAAAAGGGGGATTTTTGTGTTATATCACACACACACAAACACACACACACACAATAGGAATGCGCTTCTTTCCATCTTGCATTTCTCAATCATCAACATACCACGGTTCCCTGGGCAGTGTACAAATCAATTATGGCCATGTAATTAAAAATAAAACAATGCAAAGTAATAAAACAGCAATGTAATAAGATATAACAGAGCAACCGCATACTGCCAGAGACAGTTCATGAAATCACCAGCTAACTAGCAGTAGCGATTGTGGTGAAAAGGGAGCAAACCAACTTTGGAATTGAGGTTGCTTTTTTAAGAAAAAGGAGGTGCGGAGGGACCTTTTTTGAAATGGGACCTCAAAGTTTGCCCTGGGAGGTTTTCCAATACAGTTAGTGAGAGAAGTATCCAGTTGGGCAACTCCTTTAGGGATCTCCGATACCTATAGATACCGAACTTTCAC